GAAAATTAATGGTATTTTTAATTACAAAACCTGACTGTCTTTGTATAAGCTTTGATGTTAGCATGTTGCTAAGCTAACATTGTAATGCTCTTGCCATAAAAAAAAAAACCGCGGTACACCAAATTTTAAATAAAAAGCCCACTGTAATGAGGTTCACCTTTTTTGCTGATACTTTTCAGTACTGAATGAAAAAGTTTATTTATTTATAGGCCACATTTGTCGCACTTTGTCGGCAATCTTGGATGGGCTTTCTCAGAAAGTTTGTCGCAGTCAATTTTGGCCATGTTTTCTCCACAAACATGAAACCTAAATGTAGGCATAGGAAGCGCAGTAGGCTTTGGAACAGGTCTACAAATGCAAATTGCAATTTCTACATATTAAATGAGAGATAAATTTTTGTACTTGCAGGCCAGTTCCTGTATGAAGACATTGGATTGACGCAGCTTCCTGGAAATTTCAGCATGGCCGCAGAAAACAGCACACAGGAAACACTAGGGAAAAATATCACTCTAACAAGTTACCCTGCCCTAAAGGTGAAAGATCGCACTGTCACTGTCATAAAGAAGAGCAGGCGAATATACTCTGGAAAGCAGACTATAGACTGCTGGTTTGCCAAAAACAATGCGGCTAAACTGATTGATGGACAATACAGTGATTACGTTGTGTCACATCTGTTTGACACAGGAGACTGGGCTAATGGAACCAACACACACTGAAACAAACACATACACACTATAATTCTACTGGACTGATGGGTCATGACCCAGATATATTCACACAAACACTTTAAAAAACATCCCAAAAACCCATAAGCAGTATTTTAAGTACATGATTTATATTCAGTAATGTGTGAACATGTTACTTTACTGTTTTTATTGTAGTAATCTACAAATATATATTATATATTTTTCGCTAATATATTAAGACTGTATAATTACACTGTAACAAGGACACCTTAAAATAAAGTGTAACCGACAGTTAACAGTAAATGTAACAGTAGGCTGTTTTCTTTTTGGTAAATAACATAAAAGTAAAGGATAAAGAAGTATAAATCTTTGTAGAGAAAATTATTTTTATGAAATTAGACAAAACTACCATGACCTCTGAGATTAAGTGATGATAGATAGATGACAGACAGACAGACACACAGACAGACAGACAGACAGATAGATAGATGACAGACAGACAGACAGATGACAGACAGACAGACAGACAGAGACAGATAGATAGATAGATAGATGGATGGATAGATGGATAGAAAACATATGCCAATAAAGATGTCAATAATTATTTTGAAATATTAGTATTTTTTATTATTTAAAAAAGTACTACATTTAAATTTTGATTCAGCTTCAGTTCAAGAAATAAATTAAGATTAAAAAAATGAAAATAATTATTGTCAGGGATGTATGACATATTGGTACAATATCTGTTATTGGTCATTATTAGCTTTTTTAAATCATTTCAGCAGATATTTATTCAATATCATTCAATGTGACAAAACAAATGTCACTGTATCCATAATAATTATTTTGTCAATACTTATATTGTAGTCTGACTATAACTGATAAATGGTGGTATAAATGTTTTAAATTCTAAAAATAGCTCTGAATTTATTTATTTTTTATATCTGCCATTTATTGGTTATGCATAACATAGAAATAATCATCTTATCAGACAGAATCTTGATGACATGCATCCTTTTGATTTACTAATGTTACAGATGTTTATTAAAGTTAAATAATAATTTCAATAACAAGTTCCTAATGTTTTTTTTTTATTGTATGTATTTTTCAAATGCTAAATTGCTTGAAATATACGGTCTAAAGAGATAATTAATTAGAGAAATACTTACAGAACCTGCCTACCTAAAAAGTGGGACATTATTGTGGCAAAGAGAAAAGGTCACTATTAGCAAGGAGAAAAAAATATTAATGTTAAACAAACCACAAAAGCACAAATAAAACAAAAACTTTTTTAAAAAAGTACTCTCAGAACAAAAGGTACAAAAGCTGTCTCAGTACCCTTTCAAAACATTCACCTTTGTACCTTATTTATCCCTAAAGGGTGCACATTAGTAGCTTAAAAGTACATATTGGTACTTAAATGGTACATATTGATACCTTTTGAAAGGGTACTGCCCCAGAGAGTGGTGTTATATCAATAACAGCTGAGAAATTCTAACCGACTTGACTAATGTCTGGTTGAGTGTGACCTGTTTGCCCCTGTCATCAGACTGAGGTCAAATGGTTTCAGGACCCACCCCTTCCAGGTGTTCTTTCCTAAGTTTGCTTACCTCTTAGAAACCCTTTGTCACACAGGACTTTGTTGGCTGTGGTTATTATTAATATACTTCACATAAAAGGTCTGGAGACGTGACCCTGCTTACTGATAGCGAAAAAAATTGAACGTTTATCCACACAATGACCCTATGGTTCAAATTAAGCAAAATGGTGCCAAGTGCATTATTACTTTTATAAAACAATTAGTACATAAAAAACGCATTAAGAACACAAATCTTCCTAAAAAAATCTAAAGTGACAACTTTCTGCTACAAAATGAGTTCTAGATTGGACTTTATATTACAAGCAATATTTTATATCACTTCACGATTTATGTTTAAGTCACTCAAACTAGTTTTATTAGTTTTCATCCAAGTAAGGCATCAAGTCAACATTTTTCAACAAGATGTTTCCTCATGTTGAAGAAATTGCATGTGCGTGTTGACATCGCTACAGTTTTGAAGAAATCAATATAATTTAACAGCTTAAATTCCAAAGTTTACAGTTACTTTACATCATGTTGTATATTTTATACATCAGTTATATCAAATTGTTATTCAGAACTAGTGCATGATGTGTAAAAATACAAAAACAATCATAAAAAAACACTACAATGTTTAAACACAAAGATAATTTGGTCTTTCACTTAATACTGAATATTTACAAATTGTTTGAGCGCATCTTTCAGATATGAAATATTCTAGCATGCATCAGAGCTGGAAACATGGTTGTAGTGTTTTTACAGCGAGGTGTTCATCACAGGTAGTGACATGACTTGTTTAGACTACAAATTAAAAGTCTGAATGTCTGTAATCAGGAGAAACACTAGACCTCCTCTCTCATCATTTCTCTTCTTTTAATTAACTTCTTAGAAGTATGAACTCTAAAGGATGTGGAAGGAGGATAATGTTTCCCTTTAATAACTGGTATGCTGATAATTATCTAGTCTGCTTATACATTAACATACAATGTAATTTAAAGTATTTCATAAAACTGTTGCTCTTACTGAACAATTTTTTTTTTCAACATCAAGATTTTAGGTTGAAGTTTATATAAATGTATAAAGCAAAATATATAACTTAGATGCTGATGGTGACCATTTTAAATCACATTTTTGATTCACTACTTCTAAAAGCCTGACATGAAAGCACAAATATTCCATGTAGTATCTCAATTTAAATGAGCTCACATTTAATATAAGCTGCATGCATAGCAATTATAAGACTATAAGCAAAATGCAGTTTTACATGAAGTAGAGCATGTCAAATTGCATGTGTCTGCTTAAAATTTTGTTAAAACTTCCCAGCTGCTCTTAAAGCTAGAGAGCTGCCTACCTAGACAGCATTGTCCCTCTAACAACTGCTATCAGAATGTTCTGGGAACGTATCTTCATGGTAACCAAAACATAATTGAATACTAAAATACTTGGCAGCATTGCATGAGTTTTTTTTTTTTTCGGATAAGGCAATTCCAGAAAATATTGCGATTAATTTTATTTACTTACTTTTTTTTAATTAAATTTTAAGATGGCGGACGATCTGAGAGAAATGTTGACAAAGTGTTTACCTATTGTGTTGTTAGCTTAGCGACATGCTAACATCAGACTCAGGGCATGTTTACATGAAAAACAGAAACGTTTTTCCTTTGTGTTTTTCATGTACAGATGACAACGTTGTCAAAACGATCCCTGTTTACACTAAAAACGCTGTATTATGTATGCCAGGCCAGTAGTTGGCAATGTCACTTTGTTGTAGAAACACTATGTTAACATATAATACGCATGCGCATGACATTAACGTTTTCACAAATTTGTGTTTTTGTAGTTTATACGGACACGATAACGGTTTTCAAAACCTTGCCCTTTTTTTAAACCCGTTTTCAAAAGTTTGGGTTTTCAGACCCACAAAGCACCATTATCGTGTAAATTAACAGCCACAACGCATAAAAATTTTTCCATTTTTAGTTGAAAATGGTGTTGTGTAAACACCCCTCAATTGGAAACATTTGTAAATCTACTCTCCCAAGTGTACTCCCATGAAAAGCTCTATTTAAAGCATCCAGACCATACTAGCATACAAATTTCATAAACGAAATGTCGATGATAAACACATTTCATTTAATGCTAAAAAGTATCTATCAATCTAACTAAACATTGACAATTTTACATACTTAGTATCGTCTCAAGTATTGAGTATTGTGCAAGTGTTCACCTGAAAATTAAAGCCAAAACATTTTGATCGCCATCTGTTGGCTGGCTGCAGTATAGGTCAAAAACCCCGCCCTCTCCATGTAAACAAATGGGACGTGAATTATGAAATTAATAACATTTAATAAAACAGATAATACAATAAAATTTTCCCAAAGATGGTTTCCATCTTTTTAGGTAGTTCTTATCGCTCTTAATTAATGTATGTTCAAGCGGGGTTTTTTTTCTTTTTTGTTTTTTTATAAGTTTGCTTTTAGTTAATTATTTGATGCTTCAAAAATGGGGTGTGGTGTCATGATTGTGAGTGTGCGATTAGGTCCGCGGGAGTTTGGGTGGGACTTTGATACCGTGACTCCACTTCTTGATCACTATTGTGCAGACTCCAAATGAATCACTACTGCGCAGACTTGGGCTCCAAATGACGTCATTTTTTTCGCAAGATGACAGCGGCCATACTAAGATGTTTTGGCTTCACTTTTCCATAGTGGAAGGAAGTGGAGACATGTCATCCATTTTTTTTTTTTACAGTCTATGGTACTGTGTTGATAGCTTAGCAACATGCTAACGCCAAACTCTATTGGTATCAACTGAGTCCCATCTCCAGTGTGTACTTAACGTGAAAAGTTCTGAGTTGCGCTAAGTTGAAGTCTAATTAGTGTTCCAAAGTCACTTATGAGTTTCCATTTCAAATTGGAAGGTATCTGCCTATGTAGGAAGTAAACATCAAGGCAGCTCACTAGGTTTAGGAACAAATATATAGTGTTTAAGAAATTCTGACAAGTATACTTCTAAACGTTTGTTTTAAACTTCCATACAGACTCGTATTAACACCTCTTCTGTTGAGACGTGCTCTTCCTGTTCAGAACACACTGTAGCATCATCTTCATCTTCCTTTAGCAGCACCTACACAAACATATAAACACAGTTTGAGGTCAGCTGAAGAGCCTGGCCAGATTTTACACATGATTGTTTTCCCGTTCATGTGAGCTGGATCACTTTATAGTTGCGTAAATCTACTGATTATAAAACCACAAGCCCAGATGCATGGATTCAGCAGAAGATTGACACTAGACCAGTTTGTAAGATCTCGTTCATATCGGCACTCATCAAACACACTTTTCCACAGATTTGGGTTCATTCTCTATAGCATGAGCTTATGGAAACATGTTCCAAATGTCACTGCTCCCGACGAACAAATGGATGATTTGTGAGCAGCTGGCACACTTCCACAACTGGAGGAGTGAGGGAAAGAGGGACGAGAAAAAATAAAAGAGAAGAAGAGGAGAACAAAGTAAAAGAGATGGGAAAGACCCTGTATTGCCAAACAAATGAAGACCATTTGACCCTAGAGGTCAACGGCCTTTGGAAAGGTCTTTGGTCAAATGATGCAAATATTAAAAAAATATCTGTCCTGTAATCACATTCATATAGCACAATCCCACCATTCAAGAAGAAGAATACAACACACAAACACACAATCAAACTATTCATATACAACCCTAGAAACAAAATATTAATTTCAGCTGGCACATTTCATTTTAAATCATATGCAAGAATAAAGCCAAGCTAATAAAAAAACTGAATTAGTCCAGTGGGTTTTAAATAGTTTTGCTTCAGGACCCAGATTTTACATTGGACCTCAAGTGGGTGTCTGTAAAATCAAACATTTTGATTTATTCATATTATATGCAGTTTATTCATAAACTGCATTAGCCCAATAATATGGAAAATTATGAATGTAACAGGCTGAATGAGAAATAAATGGATGGTTTCATGCTCTTGACAGTAAATAATTCAACACAGAAAACACATTCTGGTCTGTCTGATCATTTTAATCTGTATTTTATGTAGTCTGGGTCATATTTCATTTTTTATTTTTATTTTTTTATGACCATGAGATCAGGTTACACATATGTCATCTGTCTAATTTGGATAATTTCTATTAAGTGATGACGAATGTCCATAAAAATATCATTGAGTTTGAATGGGTACATGCTTTTTTTCACTCCTCCACTGCAAAATTTGGTAAATCCATGGCATTCTTACTATAAACAATTATATGGTTATACTGCATTTTATTATTTGCATTAGCTGTGTTTGTTTTTTTCCTGCTTTATTCTACAGGCCTGAGACTAACCAGCTGAGAACCGCTGAATTAATCCAGACTAGAGTGAAATGTCTTGAGGGACAGATATGGGGAACAGGGTCATTAGGATCAGGTTAAGGAATTTTTACTGACTCATTTGTTCCTGGATCTCAACACTGATTTGTTAAACCCAGGATAAAGAACATCCTATGGATTGCACATGATGATATTACGAAAGCTTTTGGAATTCTCTTTGGTGCCACAGAAATGACACGCTTCAATTCAAATCTTGCAAGAAGTGACCCATGAGTAAAACATGAGAACTGGCATTTGTTACTTTAAAGATCCATTGTACTTCTATCAAATCTGACCATTAAAATAGCTTACAAACAAAATGTACAGTATCCAGGCTTTCATATTAAAAAATATTTTTAACATTACTAAAATTTGTAAATGTTTGTCACAAAATATTTTTTACAGCACACTATTGTGAGCTACTTTAACCCAAGTTACACAATGACTTGTCTCTATAAAGTGAACTGCAAGTCAAAAGCATCATCTACTGTAAATGGCAAATAGTAATTAGTCAAGTAGCAATTATTGAGCAACCATAAGCATACACACTAAACCTCAACACTGGCAACATCACTTTAAATATGGCTTAGAAATGGACAATGACTACAAAAATGTGCTTTGCTTACATTTCACTCTATATTACAGTTTAATAGTGTGATAAACCATATTGCTATAGCAATAAAGTGAGGCACTTTTAATAGGCAATTATAATTGACTATTACATTACAATTTTGGTCAAAACTGTGTTTTTTTACAAGTGAAATGTTTTTATTTATTGGGACATTCTCACCTCAGCTTCGTCATTGCTGTCATTTGGCAACACCTCTACTTGCTTAGGACAGTCACGTGAGCCCTCCAGAGACGTAATTTTCTTATATTTCCGCATTGTTAAACTGTCCACCACCCAGAACATTATAGACTGAAACACACATATTTACAGAAATAAGGTGCATTAAATTACATAAAGATAGATAGATAAGATAGATAGATAAGATAGATGCTCTTGAATGACTCACGTTTACAATGAAAGGCACGATCAGCATGACGATAGCCAACTCCAGCTGTGGGTTTGGGATGTAGTCCAGCACCACCTCCTCCAGCTATAACACACAAACACACCAGCGGTCAATGCATATCCATCTAGTATATTAAAATGATAAAATGAAAAATGTCTACAAATGATTCGAGAATATCTAGACATCCTACAGTGAGAAAGTAGTGAGAAATTGCATGTATGACGTATGCATTGAAAACATAGACATGACATGTGCCGGTAAAAAAACAAAAAATACACTGTAAAAAAAATATATATTTTTGAAGTTTTTGAATAAAACAAAGATTGTGTTTTACAGGAAAATATTATTTCAATTTGTCAACTTTCGTGTTTAATTCAATGGGTTACTTGCAGTTTCTTTGTAATTGTTTACTAGCAAATTCTAAGCAAAAATCACTTCCACACCATTTTTTTTTTTTTACAGTGTACATGCATGCATAGCTTTTTTCAGCAAAAATTAGAACAAGTCTGAAATTGCATGTACAGAAAGAATGTACAAAGCTGTCACTGCGGCGGTACCCTTTCAAAAGGTACTAATATGTACACTTAATTAATAAATACATAGCTTATTCACTGAAATTAATACAAGTCTATAGAGGAAATCATGCACAGATAATCTATTCATTATTCCCACACTAATCCAGATGAAATATTATCTCTGTAGTCACAGTCCTCATTTCATCATTCCATATTAGGACATCCTTCAGTAAAAATAGTAATTTGTCTATTTATGTTGATTCAAGGAACAAAAGATACATATGGGGCTGACTTGTTTCACACAGGCACCGAAAACATTCAATTTGTCATCCTTATGAATGTCATTGCGTTAGGCAGGAAAATATCTAAACCAATAAAAAAAGCAAACCATTCCAAAAAGAGTTAGGCCTATATATTGCTCAAAATCTAACAACAAATATTTGGATCAGAGACCGGTTTTAGTTTAGGGAAAGGATGCCAGTGGGGTGAGTCTGTGTAACAATAACAGAACATTTGAGCGTGTGAAAGTTTATCTTACATTGGTCCACCCAGGAACGAGCAGCACCAGAGTGACCACACTTTTCTCCAGAGCAACAATGAGTAAATACACTGAGCACTGAGCCAACCAGGCTGCTATCCGAGGAGGATCACCTAAAACACATTAAAAAATGTACTACAATTTATTACATTTTCTGAAGTGCTTGACACTATTGCTATGTAGTTGTTAAGTCATCAGTAGCCAAAAAAAAAAACTGTAAAACATAAAAAAAAAATCCAGAAACAAAATATCAAGAGATAGGGTCTTTCATTAAATAAATATATATTTATTTACTGAAATATGTCATTTATTTATATATATATATA